ATGGTCTGCAGGGAAGGGAGCTGCCTTTACGAGCCACCTAATTGGGAAGCAGCCACTTCCCGAGTTGTATTCACATCTTGGCTGCTGACATTAGTTCAGAATGAAGAGGTAAATTAGCTAGGACCTTCTTTTTTCCTGTAAAATACCATAATTTTGACATGCACAGAATCTCCTCCCTTTGTGGAGGTCCCAGACAGCAAAGCTTTACCAGGGACATGCAGTCTTGGCTGACGGATGGATGATGGGTGGATGGATGGATGGGTGGATGGATGGATGGATGGATGGATAGGTGTGGCGTATTGCTCGATTGGTTGCTATGCAGCTGTGATCATGGAAGTAGGAGAATATTCCCTTTTCCTGTGGAGAAAGGGCTATATCAGCAGTGCTCTTGAATTGTTTTACATGGGAGGATGAAAAGAATGAAGAGTGGCTTCCTTTACAGAGGGAAACTTCCCTCTCTACCTTTGCAGCCCTTTTGTTGCACAGGCAGTCCCAAGGCAGGCTTCAGTTTTTATGATAAAACCAGTGGGAAAGCACAGGCAGCTAGAAATGGCATGTCCTCACTACAGTAGCCTTTCAGCCCCTGACTACTACAGGCCTTTTTGCTGCAGTAATCCACCACCAGGTACATAACAATGTTGTAGATGCTGGGTGCCATGGGATACAACCAGTCCAGAGCAGCAACTGTCATTTATAGAACATTTTCCAGCGTGCAGATATGGTGGTAGGCTTTGCTGAATGCCTGAGAAACTCCCTGTGAAAGCAGAATCCTCCAAATAAGCCAGACAATTCTGTATGATTTGGGGAAAAAAGCTGGGGAAATGTTTATGTAGCAAAATGGAGCAAAATGGTTGTAACAAGTTACTTTAATCAGAGCTTGTAAAGCTGAAAAGTGACTGTGAAATGCCCCTTATCAAATAACGCTCTAAAGCTCCAGAGTCCACAAGTTCTAAACTAGACAAAGATGGTTTTTAGTGGAGATAGATATCCAAATGGACTGGTAATGTTGGCTTGCTGCGCTCCCTGCTGCCCGGACGGTGCATCCACAATGAGGCCGATTCTAAAGAGCATCCCAAAGAAATCCGGACTGCCGTTGGTTATAATTATTCCGCCATGTAATAAGTAAGGTTTCGTGCCACTTTATGAAAACAAACACAAAGATGAGGTCCAGAGCTTCAGGAAATAACAGCTACTATCTTTTGGCTTTGCACAAAAGAACAATTAATTTACTAGTCAGGAGAAGCTTAAACAAATTACTGATGAAACGATACCTGATAATCAATTACAGATAAGATGCTAATCAGTAAGATATTGATACGGTGTTCTGCTCAACCACTTTCACCATATACAGTAAGAAGGGGCCCACAGTTCTCTTCTTATTTGTACATCTTGAATTTACACAGAAGGAACATGTAAAATTCACATGGGCCCTACAGCTCTTTGAAGAGTGGTCTAACAAACTGCTTTCTGATGGCGCCCAGCTGACAGAAACTGATCTCATGAGTCAGAAAGATGGTTTTCTCACGCTGGTCCAAAAGGGTATCAAGTCCTGAAATGCCAAAGACTCCCCAGCGAGCATCATGCAGTGGCAGTACCAGGAACGAACCTTTTCTCTCCTCCACTGGGCGGTCATCATTCCAAAAGTGGATATTTCCATGGAGCTGAACTCTTGGAACATGGATTGGCTTTCCCTCTTTGACAGCTGCAAAGCTGAAAACCAAACTTACGAGGAGGTTCGTTATGGGCAGCAGAAAACCTTTAATGAATAAACACTGCAGCTTTGATCTCTCCTTGCTCTTTGGCATCAGAGCAAGAGGGTTCCTCACTGAGCACACCCAGAAATATGTCATTTACCACTTGCATCCCAAAGACAGTGGTAATAAATAAGGCTCTTTTCATCCTTAGGCCATTTTAAAATCATCAACTGATGAATGTAATGAATAGGAATACAGAAGCAAGCAGCAGTTACATTTAGTAGGTTAGAAGAAGCAATATTTAAAGAAAGAGACAAATACATCTAGCTTTTGGAAATGAGAAGTAAAGAGGCGTGAAAGCTGTTTATAGCGTAAACTCTAGGGAAGGAAAGGCATTGTTCTCAAAAAATATCCTGTGGATGTAAACTGGTGTAAGGGAATTAATTTTTAAAGAAGAAAATGTAGGCCTAATGTAATAGACATTTGCTAAAGGATGAGATTTATTAGACTGTGAGCTAATCTCCCCAAGGAAAGGAGTGAAATCCCAAACAGAGCAGTTCTAAGTAGACCATGCGAAGTATAAGGGCATGTATATGATAATGAATCATTCCACAACCTCAGTTCCTGAGGAGATTTCCTCTCTGGAGTACTCTATCCACCTCTGTTTCCAGTGCACCCCAAACACTGCCTGGTACCCCGACATTCCAAATGTTTTTGAGAAAAAGGAACGGTTACTTGCAGCTTTTCTTACCTTACTCCTTTCATGTCTCTGTACAGTGTCTGGTTTAGAACATACAGAGCATCTGCTGCGGTACATGCCACGTAGTGGAGGAGAATCTGTCCCCGCTCTGGTGAGAGCTGGTTCTTTTCCAAAAGGGCAATATATGCGCTGATCTTCTTGTTATCCCCACGGGCTCCCGCATCCTAGCAACCAAATGTTTCCCATTACATTATGTGCATTAGCCATTGGCCATTACACTTATTTCATGTACTTAGCACTTGTGTCATTTTTTGCTGAGACGCTGTTCTGGGTCACTGATTTTGTGTGTAATGCACCAACTGCATGACATGTGTGTGTCTGTGCTGCCATTGCCTCTGACCACAAGCAAAAACACTTCATATTTTGATTGGCAAGGAAAACAGATTTCGTTTTTACTGCTGCTAATGGGGAGCAGTTTATATAAAAATAATCCCTAATTATAACCTGTGCCTAAGCAAAACTCCTATGGATTTCTTCTCCAATAAGAGATTTCTTTGGAAAAGTCAGGCAAAGAAGTGCCAGAGCTGCTACGTTTACAAACCTAAATATTTTAAGAACACTTCAGCTACTGTGAGAAAAGTTTGGCTTTGAGGAACACTTCAATGGTGATGACAAACATCTAAAGTTGCAGCTGCAAGTTAAAAATTAAACTATATCTCCACTACAAATTAACCATCTTTGTCCCAGACCGAGTCTGGTGTGTTTCATTTCCGAAGATCTAAAACTAGAACTATGGATTTCCAAATTTTATCTGAGTCAGCTCTTCAAAAAGTGAGACGTAGGTATCCGTGAGACGCATTCTGGATTGGCAGAGCATGGACGAGAATTCTTGTATTGCAGACTTGACCTGTGACTCTTTCTGTGCATAACCATGGGCTCTCCTGAACACCAACGAAGTGCAGAGAAGCACAAGGAAACCAGCCTCAGACCAGCTTCCCATGCAACCATGGGGTTGAAGTCAGTGTCACAATCCCAACACACGCGACTCTTGTGCTCCCTGGGATGCGTACCTGGGAGAGGGCCTCAAACACCGCTTTGTAAACTGGTTCCGTGCTTGCTCCACTGGTCTTAGCTGCTTGCTGGATATTGTGCAGCCATTTGCTCCCGGTTAAGCTTTGCAAGCATTCCATGTGACCTCGTTCCACACTTCTGGTCAGAAATTCCACCAAATTATCAAGAGGTTCATCCTCCTCACCAGTGAACTCGGAAGCAACTAACTCAAGGGAAGTCTGGAATGCCTCTGGGGATAGCTTCCCCACTCTGCTGAGCCGTGGGTAACGGGAGCAAAGGTGTTTCTTTGCTAGTAGAAGAAACAGAAAATAAGACAGAGACAGTCTATTTGAATAAAATGCTCTGCTTTTCTTGTGCAAAGTATGAATCAAGCCCTAAACTGGCTTTGGGTTAAGTGCTCCAGCCCGTCATTCTGGGTTTCTTCGAGCTATCTCCTAAATGTAAGTTGTCACCAGGACAAGTAATCTCCAGCTTCCAGACTGGATGCACCTTTCCCTCTAGATGCCTGGTTTCTCCCCTACTGAGAAAGAAACCTGCAAGGCTTTGCTCCTGTGCCTGTTTCGTACCTCTGCAATATACCTAAACAACAAAGGTCAATGGAAAATAGGAAAGCTGCTTGGAGTTAGCAAAAATCAGAGGCATCTCCATATCAGAATCAGATTTTATGGACACTTGAGGGGCTGGTGGGACAGGGCTGCAGGTAGGCGTTCTGCATACAGTAATTGTAGTTGAGACCTTACAGAAAAACTATTCATCAATCCCATTAAAAATGTGAAGGCCAGAGTCTACAGATGATTTCACAGATCTCCCATATTCCTGGATTTTCTGTTATGTACCATACTTGCAGACATTATGCTTTTCTTTAGAAGCCTTCCAAAGTAACTATCATTTTTAATCACCCTTCTTTAGGTGTCTCTGATGAATTATTGAAATAACATTTGTATCGTGCTAAATCTCATAAAAGAAGAGCAAAGAAAACGAAAGGTCTATCGAAGTCGTACAGAGGACGGGACAACAGTTGTTTTGCAGTCTCCCGGAATCACCTGTACGGCACCAAGGGATGTAGATGTGGAGCGAAAGGGGAAAGAGAGCTTTTATAAGAAATACAGGGTTTAGAAGACTACATTAGTATGAAAAACAACCAAACCAGTGAAGTGCTGCCTGTTAGCTCTCAGGGGAGTGAGCGAAGGTGACTGCACGGAGGCTGCTCCTTCCCATCTTGCACAAGGCCGGGGAGTGGAGCCATGCCCCAGTCCCCTTTGTCACATCCCAGGGATTGCAGCTGAGTTGGCCCAAATGTGGGCAAATAAGCTGCAGTAGAAAGGTCTGGCTTGGAGCAAGGGGGAATGAGGAATGCCACAAGGCTCAGACTGTAATTCCCAAAAATCCATTCTAGTTCACAGACTTCCAGTCTGCCCAGAGGTCCTGAAGGCGCTCATCTCAGACTTGCAATCCTAGCAGACTGAGGATGAAAACGTGAATTGACCCCATCGGTTCCCGTTCAGATGTTCCTTAAACCAGCAGCCAGGCTAACAGCGGTGCTCAGCCGCTGTGCCGGTGCTGCCGAGCGCCGGTGCTGCTCCCCCCCCCAGCTCCGGGCTCACGGGGGTGCTCTTGCACAGCCTTTCGAAGCTGCAGGCAGCCTCCTGGCTTCGGGAACCCGGGATTTCACCGATTCAAGCTGGGCTTGCCTGATCGTGCTCCTGGCAGTGCCTCTCCTGAGCGCTGCCATGACTAACACTTTCATCATTTTTTTTCTGCATCCTGATTTCAAATCCTGTTGGACCCGAAGAAGTAAAGAAAATCAAGGAGAGCAACTGGTCAAGCTGCTTCCGACTAGCAGATGCACAAAGCAAGATGCATAGGTAGAAGTGTGACTTCGCTATTAAGCAGGGAATATTTTGTGATCAATACATATAGTGGCCTAAACAAAGCAGTTTAATAGGAAATGCTTTGATTAATGATGCACAGGAGCAGGCGGGGAGCTGCCCTGATTGCCTCCCAGTGCACCCAAGACACTGATGTTTATGGGAGCTGAGAGCCTCCTCCTTCTCCCACAGCAGTCTGGGGGCATTTTATCATGGATTTTAGCTGTAGAAGTAGCAAGTACTAATTGGTCCAACCATGGTGGAGCTGACTGTGAATGCTGTCTTATCCTGCCCATCATCTAAAGAACATTCGGTATTTTCTAATTTAATTACTGATTTTCTGACATAAGTAGGATGGAGAATTTTTTGATGGTACAGAAAAGTCTGGATTTTCACCTCCACTTTTTCCTGTCTTTGAAGAAAGAGATGAGGAAAGAAATACACATGAAGTTGAACATGGCAGGATCAGTGCCTTCATTACCACAGCATAATGAATTATTTTCCCCATTATAACTGTAACGTTACACTTTTCACTTACAAGGAAAATCAAATAATTCTACCCACTTTTCACACTGTGTTTTCATCCAGGAGGAGTGCAATATTTTTGAACCCTTCCCCCAAACCTGCTTGGTCCTCTATGTCTTTGAGAGATTAGGTCAAAGCTGCTAGAAATAGTTTTATGTTGCTTGTAGGTGGTATTGATTTTGCTATGCTGTGTTTCTATTTATTTGTCCTTTAGTTTATGAGCCCTTCATGGAAGGGACTATGTCCTTCCATATTTCTGTAGTGTGTTCTGGCATGCTTTCAATACAAGGGAGCTGTAAAGTGGCAGTTTCTTCTGTGGCTGTGCAGGCTGGAGGCAATTACCTGTAGCATGCCGGTGCACTCCCCACCCCACCAGCTGCCTCAAGTGAGCTAAAGAGTAAGGAGATTTTGGTTGCTGCCAAAATGAGCCATTTTCAGTAATGTGTGTCAGACCACGCAGCAGGAAGATATGCATGGAGATGAATAAACCAGTCCTCTCCACCCGAGCACAGATGCAGACCTATTCTTATTGCTAGTGCAGTATTTCAGAGCACCCAGTGCCCACATGTTAATATGTATGAGGCTGCCAGAGAAGTCCAGGTGAACCTGCAGCACTTCTGTCTGACCCAGGTCTAATCTGTCAAGGACCAAATTTCCTAAGTTTATTCAGAGAAATGAACCAACAGAGAAGTGAGACTCGACGTTGCTATCTAATTCATGAGAGCTGTGTAACAGTGTGGATTACTAAGGGCTATTTGAGACCCATAAGGAAAGCTGGTGTTCTCTCCTATGAGATGCGTTCCCGCAGATGGCACAGTAAAAGGTATCTATTAAAAATAGCTGGATAACACACACAGGCTAGACTAAAAGTGCAAACATGTCCTCAGGCTTTACGTGTGTTTTTCACTGCCATATCACAAATATACATTGCACATGACAGCTGAAATAATTTTTCAACACATCACAATGTTGTGAAAGCATTGGGCTACCTCTCTGACGGGGAATCTGTCACAGAGGAGTCTTGAACAGGAGGAGGGGATGGAGCTATGCATTAACAAGTAGGTCTGGATAACTGTTCCTTTTCATTTTATACATCATACTGTGTATGTTTATGGCTGCTTGCAAAACCAAAAAATGACTGGTTCTTGCCACAACTTCATTAACACTGTCGTTGAATGATTTAAGGCCTACTGTGTTGGCGTACTCTCAGAGCAGAGCTGTTTCCTTACCTTTCCTCAAGGCCTCTTTTTCCATCCCTTCCTTGAACGTGCTTAGAACAGCATCCACCTCTTCCAGGTCCAGAAAACAGATGCATTGTTGTCCCACTTTTCAAAAAGTGCCTCCAAAAGCAGTTTCCGTTGGGCCAAGCGAGAGATGCCGTGAACCTACAACAGAGGAACAGCCAGTCTTTGATAACTCCTGGACACTGATGCTCGGTGTCTACACAAGTATGGAAACTGCAGCCCTATGCTGACCTCATAATTCCTATGGGCCAGGACAAATCTGCACATGCACAGCTCAGACCTGGAGATGAATCGTTAAACCTGGACCATATCTGGGAACACTAAACACAGCCGACAGTTCAGTCCTGCCAGGCAGAATCAGCACTGCAGAGTGTTATTTCCCAGTGAACAAACGAAGTGCATGCTGGATCTAAGGTGAGATCAACTCAAGTAAGTGCAAGTTTCCCAGAAAACAGATGTCTTCCCAGCAAGAACTAACCATGGCCTTGTTCGTAACACCCAAAGATGTGACAGTTTGTATTTCCATACATTGTTACTTTGCTGGTGCTGCCCTGAAGTGTGTGGGCTCCAAGGAAATGCGTGTACAATTTGTCCTTTAAACCCAATCTTTGCCCAGCATACAGTGATAAATGGCTGGAGCGGAATTCTCTCAAAGGCCAAAATACTGGCAGTGTGTTCTGTGTTCAGCGTGAGGACAGTAGAGCCGTCAGATCCAATATCTCATCCAAATTAGGTCACCAGCACAGAGGGAAACTAGAAAGTGGTCTGAGGAAAATGCAGCTAGAGAGGCTGCTATGGACAGACCCACCATGAAACAGATCTGCACGCTGAAGTGGTATGGGGCACCCTGATGCTGTGCACGAGGATTTTGCTGAAGGGGAACATATTTTTTCAACACATGGCAAGAGCACCTTGTAACTTAAACACAAAGAAGCATCTGCACATTCATATGCAGCCACGCGCATAGCAAAACCAAACACGCGTCTTTCAAAATCTTCCCCAAAACATCCACAACCTCCCATGTAAATGCCAGTGCAGTAGGTCAGAGATCAGGTTCTTGGCTATTATAAAGGTGAATAAGCAGAATGGAATGTTTTGAGCTCTTTCACAATTAACTATCAACCTGCTGTCTCACTAAGTGCAGCTCTAGAACAGACAGACAACCTCTTACAGGATGGGTCTGTCATCAGCTCTAGAGCTAAGGGCCAAGAGGGAGGATCCGTATGAAAACAAAGGGGTAAAAGGTCTCTTGAGGAAATAGCGCAAGGCTGCAAGCGAATAGCTCTGCCAGCGTGAGATTAAAAGCTGACTTTGTCGGTGTCTGTAGGCAGTTGCTTGGTTTTTGTTTGAACGTGGGATCAGCAAAACTTATCAATATTTACTTTTTCTAGTTGTTCCATTTTTTTCCTCTTCTGTCTGTTTGTATTCTTCTTTGATAAATGCAATAAGCCTCTTCACAGTAGGCAGAGAAATGTCTTCACCAACAAATGTCTCCATGAGCTGTACAAACTGTGGCAGGTTGAGGCAGCTTTCATCAAAGGCACTCCTAGCACGAGAGGCCCAACGGTTCTGAATCTCTGCCATGACGGGACGTAAGTCTGAAAGGCAGAAGGCACAGCGTGTCGCAGGAAGCCAAATGCTGCCCTAAAGCCAGCCGCGTGGCAGATCCCAACACAGTCCTGAATCCTGCGCTTCCCAGCCAGTGAGAGTATGGCTGAATACGGACTGACCCCATGCTGACTAAGGGCCTTAACCTCATTATACTTTTCTGATAGTATCTCTTCAGATTTATGCTCCAGTCTAGCATGGATGCTATTGTACAACCAGGTCAAATCACTGAATGCAGGTGAGCTGAAATTATTGTTATACAAAAAGTGGCCTTCTGAGACAGAGAGTACACTGCTTTCATCTTGAAGTCAGCTTCAGGAGTTAGTGTTTGTATTCCTGCCCAGACTTTCAGCTCACAGAAGTACTGGCATGTCCACAGACGCTGCCAGCCACTACGAGGCCGAGTGAACACACAACTTTGTGACCAATACCTGGAAATCTAGTGTTGTCATGCTTCCAGTCCTCTGGAACTCTTGCTCCATAGTTGCTATACCTGCAACTTGGGTCACAAGTTGGTAGGTTACCTGACGAAAGATAAAACATACCTTGTAAAGATATAAGCTTTTAAGAAAGATGTGAAATACAGCTTTTCCAAAAGCCTTTAAATACATATATCCAAGCTACAGTTTCTAAAGCAGATGGAAAGAGCTGACATGAGCAGTCACCTGACCGTGGCACTTCAAACGCCTGGCTAGCTTCAGCTGGAGAGTCCTGTCTGTCTGAGCATGCGGGACCTGCAATTTTAAAAAGAAATCTTCTGTGAACCAGAGCTTACTAATCTGAGCACCCTGATGACTAATATGCAAAATCTACCTCTGTACCCTTGTTATCAGTAGCTATTTATTTTTACTGTCTGGAAACACTCCTTCCCGAAATTCACCTGGTGAATGTTACATTTCTTAAGCCCAGCTACAAATATCTATTTTAGCAAGAGTAATAAGGTAAATTCTTTTCCAAGATAGATTTAAAATTATATTCAGACTTCTGTTTCCATCTACCTTTCTCTCAAAGAGCACCGCACCACTACACCATCGTTTCTCCAAGGACAGGGTGGGAATCTGCTGTGAAGATGGAAGTGCTGCGTGCCCCAGACAATGCGGGATGCGCATCCAGGGACTGGCTGAATGACAGGTGAGTGCTATGTACTGGCAGCTAACCACAAAAAGTGGTAGGTACCAGTGGGCTGTACTATCAGCTCTACAGCCCTTTACGTAGTAAGTCTGTCACTAGACTGCTCTGGAAATGTAGAGCCAGTTCTGGCAGTGTTTTAAACTCTGAGACACCAGAGTGTATTCACAGAGCGCTAGCAAGGAGGTTGGTCCTCCTAGGATGTTTAAGAAGGTACCTCTTATGAAACACACAGTTGTCTGACCACAGCCTTCCTAAAACAAGGGCCTTTGTACACAGTTAAGAAGTATGATATTCCTTTGAAAACACAGTGAGAGATTAAAATAAAAGGTTCCTGCTATATGTTCTCATAATACATCTCCCTATGGGCAATCACAGTCTAAAAATGATTGAAAGTCATTTCTGTATTTAACATCCTTAGGCTCCTGTCTTGCTATAATAATATTACAGAGTGAAACAGAACATAAACTTTCTCTTTATTATAAAAATGCCGCTGCTTCAGAAAGTCCCTACTTGAATTAAAGTGTCTGCTCGGTGCCTTGAATACAGATCACCAGCAAAGTGACTCACCTGCCATCCTGTGAGAGGAACACACTCTGAAACCTTGGCAGAAAGCACCATGCTGAGAAGCTATCAAAGCTTATGGTCTTGTGTATTCAGAAGTCATTCAAACGCTTTCAATAGTTTTGAAATGGATTAAAAACACACCTATAGTTAAACCAGTCCAAATGTATATCTATGTTGAAAAAGATTAAGGTCTGCCAGAATAAAGGAGAATGCTTTACCTTTACCCTGGTCTTGCAGAAGGTCCTCATCCTGCAGTCTTGTCTCTGAGCTTGTCTGTTGGCCAAACTGGCTGCCATGCTGCCTAGAAAAACTCTCTTGCAGGAGTTTCTTTCACAACCTCTGCAACTGGAGCATCCTGTTTTGAAGCAATGACATCCGTGTCTGCCACAGCTCTGTCTTCTGAGATCATGGTTGTAGCTTCAGGTGTTGGTCCTGAAATTGTCTCGGTTGCTTCTGCAATTCACTTCTCCTCCTACTGACTAACTTGCCCTTCTGAGCCAGGTTCTCTGTCCAAGATACAATAATCTTCTTCCCTATTTGTTTCTGTATCAGGCTCTCTACCCGGGCTAAATTCCTCTTCCTCCACCTGTTTTTCAGATCCAGGTTCTCCATCTCTACTGAGACTGTACCCAGTAGAGGCTAATCCTGGGAAAGCTTCCTCCTGTCTGTCTGCACTTGCAGGCTCAGTTTGCCTCTCTGTTTTGATGTCTTCATTGGAACTGGCTTTCTCCCTGTGTATGGCATCTCCATCCAGATCACTAGCTCCAAAATCAGTGCTTTTCACCGCTGACACAGTGTCCTCGCCTTCCTTTCTCACTCCAGCGTCACTTAATTCTGCTGTTTTGGTTTCTTCCTTAGAAATTCCTCCGGTGTCAGCTTCAAAAAGATCTCTGGCACTAGGTCTCATTCTGTATGTGCCTTCTCTGTTATCTCCTACAGGTTCACATGCCAACATCTCTCCCTCAGAGGTTCCTGTTTGAGGCAAGACTAACTTTTCACTGAGTTCCTCACAAACTTCCTGGTCATCAAGGCATCCCCATAAATCCGCAAGCTCAATCTCTTGCAGGTCGATTATTTGCCCTAAAATAGGAGAAATATTGATAAGCTGATGGTTTGCATTGGTTTTATGTTCTCTAGTATTGCACAAGAAAATTTAAAGAAAAAAGGTATTCCTGAGCAAATACAAGCTATCAGAAAGTACCTTCTGCAAACGTGCATCTTGGAAACAAACATTCAGGACAATGTCTTTGCCTGCAGAGAGCTGCACTTGTTATTGTGGATTACACCATATCTCTTTTGAAATAAATAACACGTTTCATAATTCTCCATAGGGAGAAGGAAAGCGGTAATTTGCCTTGCATTTGATCTTAGCAATTAATTAATGTCCAATATCTTAAAAATATTTTGCTTCTGTGTAGATGATTGTCTGTGTTTTTTTCTTTATCTTTCCATGTTCCTGGAGAAATTTTAGTGTAAACACAAAATTAATTTCTAATATTGCAAGAAAGAACAATTTTTTTTCAGGAAAAGTAGTCTTTCTTTAATCCTGCTTCCAAAAATTTGCAGGAAGGAAAGATTTCTGCTGAAGCATTTCTGAACATTGCATCACAGTTTGCAAAACATGTTTGCAAATTAGGGTGTATAGGTCACAGCGTTCCTTTTGGGCCCTTTTTTAGGCTCTGCCCATTTCTGTCAACACGTATAAAATGTATGTTAAGTCTACAACCTCATGTGACCTCCTAATATTTAACCACAATTGAAACATCCCATATACTTACACTGTCTCGGGTTACAGAATCCCCTCTTAGCAATCACGGGGCTTCTGTCATAGAAGTCTACCAGCAGGGCAAGTATTTTTTGTCTGTCCAAGAGAGTAACCTGGACAAAAAGATTACGATTATTGTATTTTTTCTCTGGTTCTTGGGACTTACATCAACATTTGCAGCACTACAAAGGTGCCATTAGCAAAGAATTACCTGTGACTGAAAATTATCCATTACCAGAACATCAGTACGAGTTTCAAAGAAGTGAATTTATTTCAGCGAGGCAAAAATTTCCTCTCTGGGCTTAGATGGAACTCCTCATGCACATTACTTTGCAGGCACATCCTCTCGCACATTCTTGGTGAATTACTGTTGGGTGATTGTAACCGTTTCAGCCAAAGGAGTTCTTCACGTGAAGATCAAAGCTTCAACATTTCGCACTTTCAGGCCAGACACTGACTGCCTGACAGTACTATGGAAGAATTTTCCTGTATTATGGGCTGGGCTGTATTATGTTAGTGACTGCACATTGTAGTTTGGTTTTGTGCCCCATCAGTTCCTTTGAAGCATTATATATGGGCAACTGCCTGGGAAAATAATTAGTTGAAAAATCTGAGCTATTATGACAACGTCTCTAATTTCCTTTAAAAATTCTTACACATTTGATCACAGAGGTGAGAGAGGTATCCGTAGTTCCAGTCCAGAGGAACATGCAGAGTTTATTATGTCCTTGTTGCTCAGGGTGAGTGTATACAGACAATAAACTCAGGAAAAGACAATGAAACGGATCATTTCCAATCAGGAAATTGTGAGTTTAAAAAATAAAGCAAATCTAAACGATTGCAAGTTTTCCATTTTATGATTAATTCCTGTTGTCATTATTCAAGTCCTGCCACCTTGGTAATCTCCCTCCCATTAGTCAAGTATAGTAGTTAATCAGAGAACAGATCTACTTCAGTTAATTATTTGTAGCAAGTAGCTTTCCAACTGAATTATTGATTTCCTTTTCACATTTTGCTCTTAAAGACTGCAAAATGTAAAATTCACCAAGCTTCTCGTTCTTGGGAACTTTCCCTGCCCTTAGGCTGAAGAAATAAGGGAAGACATTTGCTGCTCTTTTCTGGAAATGAGCTCAAGATGACTGTGTTGTTTATGACCTAAAACCGTAATTAATGGCATCAATGTTTAGGAACAGAGGATTTGAAAACAGCTGAGAGATACCCGTCACTTAGTGAAGTGCCTCCCAAAAAAGCCAATACTGAAAACTAAGTGAATAAATCACATTTTCTGTTACTGCAACAGTTTTCCTCTGAAGGAAATTAAAAGCTTTTTGCAAAATCTGAGAAAAAGATCAGAACTGAAATGTAACCTGTTGTCCAGTCCAGTCGTAGTGCTTCAGTCTCCTGTAACTTAATTCCTGTCAGTAAAATAATGCTGGAAATCACAGCTGAATTTCATCCATCTGTGGGTTTGGAACAACAAATGTCATCACATAATTCTGTCCCTAAACTCACAAGATGTAGGCCCTGATTCCCCCGTATCTTCATCTTCTTGACATTAATATATACGCATCTTGCATGCTCCCCTGCAAACATTTCTTTATGATGTTTGTTTTTCAGTTGAATATACCGGCTCGGATCCTGCATCCATTTAGTAGATAGATATACAAACACGGAACATGTTTTTGAAGATGTTACCAGATCACTGCCTAATATTTGGATTCTCCATTCAGTATTTCCATTACACACACTTAATTTTCCCTTTAAATTTCCTCAGCTGTTACTTGTCACAATCATCTGCTGGTTGCCTTTGAGCTGGCAGCACTAATGCAAAGCTTTGTTTTACTAAAAAGGTAAATTAATGAATGAAGTATTATTAAAAAGAAAATAGAAATGCTGTTTTGGGATTCAGATGCTTTTTTGTCATGTTAAAGTAATATACTTGGAGGATTTAGATAACTCAGATTCTAGAAGAGCTTTTTTGTGATTTAGATGAAATACTTTTGGTTTTAGATATTGTTAAAAATTGCAAATTCTATTTCAGAAATTACTGAATGAATCAGGGGTATATTTTCCACCTTGGTTTAACATTTACAATTTATACAGATTTGCCATTCTACCAGAGGTCTCTGTTATTTCAGGACACTTTTCCTCACGACTTACCTCAGGAGGAACGTGCCACAGTAAAGCTGTCTACAGAAGAGAGGGGCATCGCAACAGGAAACCCAGTTCCAAGGTGCTCTACCCAGTTACACGGTCTTTCTGGGTTCCTAAATGCACTGGAAGAAGTCATGTTCCTTTGTACTTTGTGTGTGACTGGGGAGGCTGATGAAAGACTCCTGCCCACCAGCCCGTCAGAGCCTTGTCGGCAGGACAGGTAAGCGGCCGCTATAAATAACAGCAGGCCATCTGTGTTTGTACAACCGCCCAAATCTCATCTCTGCTTTTAACCAGCGCCAGCTTTAGTGGCTAGAGAGTTGAAACATGTTGACCTAATTTTCTTGTCACCTAGATATTGGCAGGTGATGATTCTCAGTTGTTTTCAGCAATGTTCTGTGATCTATGAGTAATTACTTTAGCAGCACAGACTAAACCAGACTCGCCATTTAATCAGTGATAGGTCAGTGTTTAACTGCTTGATTGTTTTTCTGGAAATGTATCTTGAACACCACAATATGCTTGTTAGCGAGCAAGGGGGGAAGAACTGACACTCAGAAAAGGTCATGAGAAAGCAGACTTTGTTGTTGCTGTACTGCAGGAAAGGTAATCAGAAGTGTCTCAACTTCATTAGTTTGAAAACTAATGGCTGACTAAATCCAGTTACATTTGAAGATCCCAGGCTTGAAACATCCCTGAAAATTAATGCAGATTCTGTCATAATGTGTAAAAGAAACTATACTTGATACATGGAGCACAGAGAGACAATAAGCTTAAAATTCACTGAGCTATTGCCTTTTGGGGCATTAGAGCAGTGATTCAACTCTGTTCTGGTATTGTCTTGGAAAGTTTCTGCGTCACTGTATAGTCCAGGCTGTTCTTGCTGAGCTGCCATCCTTCTGGATGCATGCATTTGAAATCATAATAATGATCATGTGGATACCTTCTAATTTGACTGTAATTTAAACACTGCTTTCTCAGCTCCCTGGCCCTAATTGCAGCTCACTGAGGCGGCCAGCCACCCGCACCATGCAGACTGGAATAACTGCCTGCTACCAAACGCATGTAAATTAGGAACTGAAACAACTGCTTTGCTGTGCTTTGCAGAATGAGTACTACAGGTAATGGATCACATTCAAGTGGTAGAAGTCCTTGGGTTAGTTTGCATCTTTTCTCTTCCCCGTGGGTACAGTACAGCAGGACCCATTAGAGCTACACAAAAGAAACCAGGTCAGGTTTAAAAGAGCTGCGTGGCCCACACTACAGTTTAGCGAACTCAGTTTGCAGAGCAAGGCTACCTCAGTGGCTAGAAACAGCAATGTTTGTGCTCTGATCATTTTTTTCTGGGCAGTGATGGCGTCTGTGCTGATAGCTGCTCACTCTTGTTATGTTGTGCTAGGATTTTTGGCTCTTTGCCTCTGAGATTCCACTGGGATTAGTAGCATGGAGATGGTGATTACTGCCACAGAAGTAATAGGAAGAAAGTCATATTAAAACATGAAAGGGAAAGAAGGGTTCCTTTCAAATGCATGGCAACAATAGGACTCAGCTTTATATATTCCTCTGCCCAGGAGGATCCATCATAGCGCTTCTTGACAGAGCAATAGGAAAAGGAAACATCTTCTAGCTGAGAAGGAGACACATTTCTTTCCTCATCCCTGAAACAGCAGCTTGCCTGCTGCTCTCTAAAACACACCATTGGTGTTGAAACGTGCTCTGTAATTCCATTCTCTTAGAGGTAACGACATTATTAGCATGACATTGTAGAGCAGAGTTCGTTCTGGGTAGGCACGCTGTAAACATCACTAGGGGAGTGCTGGATGGAATATATAGTTTATGTAGGGGAGAAAACTGCGACGTTATGGCCACCATTTGCTGTGGAGTAGCCAGCAACTGGCTAACTGAGGCTAATCATAACAAATACCATACTTTTTGGATGAAGCCCAAGTTTTTAGCAATAGCTTGTGTCACTGATTCTTCAGCTCCTGCTATTTACTGGTTTCCTGATAAGTCTAACTTTTTTGTTTGTTTTAAATGGGGATGCGGGTGTATTCAGGGGACAGTAGGTAGAGTTTAGAGCTGCTGAAACCCAGATTATGGCTTTTGGGTTCCATTTCCAGCTCTGTAACTGACTTACTGTGTTTTAATTTCCTGGCCATAAACTGTGGCTGAAGTTCACAGCACTTTTCTCAGAGGTTGTAAAGATAGATTAGTTTGCATTTTAAATTTAAACTACGAGATTTATTGATAGAAGCCCTGAAGGTGTATAAATTAATGCGACGTAATTAACGCAACATATGTTACAATTGTAGTAACGTGCACGTTTGTTAAGGTCAATCTATATCAGGTTATCTTTGCTGAAATAAGGCTGAGTAGACAAATTAGCACCCAAACATTCAGAACGTGCTGTGGGAACAGGTAGTGACCAGAAGTAGTAAAGACCATGGTTAATTTCTTCTCCAGAATCATCAAAGTTCAGACTCAAGTCACCACGTTAGGTCATTCCGTTCCTAAATAGCCATCAGCTTGTAGGCTGTTGCCTGTTTCTGTCTAAGAACTGTGAATTTGAAGACAATGCAGCAGCTACTGTCCTCTAAAATAATGCCGAGTAAGCATAAAGAGCGTATCTAGAGCCATGAAGAATAAAAAGAAAGCAGTGACCCAGAGCAATACCAAAGCATCACCATATGGAAATTAGGTTGAGAGCGGCTTTGCCTGCCTTTCCGTAATCGCAATCTAGGAAGAGGTCGGTAAACATTTGCATATCATGTTTTATCGCTTCTTGGAAGTCATCAGCACACTGACAGAGATGCCTCAGGATTTCTTGGAACATGTAATTTGAAAAATGTTTGGTGTAGGAATGGACATACTATGGAGAGAAAGCAGCAGTGTAAACGGTTAGCTTTCCTCAAGTATTTTCACCTTTATTTGAACCCCTAAAACTGTATTGCATGCGATGAAATATATAGGAATTTGTAGTTTAATCTGGTAACATAACACAGGCTTGGTGCACGGATGCTACGCTGCCTACTTTGTTCTTTCTTTCAGAAGCAGCAGTATTCTCCAAACAAGCCTGGGACACGGCTGTGCCAGGCACTGCACAAATGCACCTTGAACAGTTCCTTTCCTGGGCCAGATGTCACTGGTTCACTGCTTAAGCTAGGCTATCTCAGGGAGGATACAAGTTCTCCATGGCTTTCTGCAGCATTTAGTTTTCTTGAACCATTAGTTTTTGCAGAACTGACAGTCCCTCGACTCTCTAATGCCACAAAAAGACCATTGCCCACAATTTCAGTGTTTAGAGACCCAGTCTGGATACAATAAAAAAAGGAAAGAACCTTCTGAAAATGAGCCTGCTGTCACCCAAGTCCTGCGACACCAGGAATACTGCTGACTAGAGATTTATTTTAAGTTCTAGCCTTGGAGACACTTTAACACTTCAGATTTATGGCCATGTGGTTTTTATGAGCAAAAGCAATATGGTTCTAAAAATGTGGTGTGCATGACATAAATAATAATGTCCATCAGAACAAACCACAATCCCAAAGTCTGTGCTGAATTATTATAGCAGGTTTCTGGAGCCAGCCACAGTAACAGGGAGCCCATACAGTTAGAGGAAGGAATTCGTGAACACAGGATGTTTCCCATTATCCCATTTTTAGAGGATGGATACCTGACACGAGTGCTAGAGCGTCTTGGATTTGTTGAAATGCCGCACAGGCATTAACAAACTGAAATATTAATATAGGTTATTATTATTCATGCCTATATTGCATAATTTCCAAATATATGGGACAAGTGGAGAAGAGAGGAAGAGCAGAAAAGCAGCAGCCAATGGCCTGAGGGATGGCTGGTGGGAAAGCAGAACTCTTAACGCAACGTGTGGTTTTTTTCTGCGTTTCGGCACAAAAAGAGGGGATGCAGGTGGGTTGGAGAGAAGGTGGCAGATCTGGGGCTACATGTATCTACCAGCTTTTCAGAGCTATTACAACCCCAAGCCCTGTGATAGAGGCACCTTAAAGATGACAGCAGCTGGGAGGAGGCAGGTTGGACAAGCAGCTTGTTATTTTGCACGGCATCTTGACGACACATCCAAAGGGTTGTGTACTAATACTGCTGTCTAACAGCTTCACAGAAAATTGTTTAGAAGCGTATGTTCGGCTGTGTGGGCAGGAGGAGCTATTGTAGAGTCATAAGCTTTTCTTAGCCGGTGTGTGTAAAGCACTCTACTGTGTGAAGTACTGTACACATAATAAGTGTACACTTATTTATTATTAACCAAGATATTTTGACACCCATCAGAAGAAAGCTGGCACACCTCCTTCTTGCTATCTAGTGTGAGACCTTGCTGTAGTTTCTGAACACGTTGTCATCACTAACAATGGATCTTCGGGTTTTGTTCCTACTGCTCTTGACAGAAATCGAGTAAGCCACGGGCAATCATGGAAAATAATCTCACCTTTAAAGCCTGATTCTGACCCTGCAAAAGCAATGTGTTTCCCTCGGTGTCAATAGCTTTGTGTCAGGCTGCTGGGGTTCTGCCTGTTAGGGTACAAAGCTTGTAAAATAAACTATTAAGGACTAGTCTCTGGGATTTAAACGCTTTTAATAGGAAAGACCACACGAGCTTGTAATAAAGGATGTAAAAAATACAACAGCCACTGTTTTGCATGTCCGAAAACCCCCCTCCAAACCCAACAACAACGTGTGAGGTCTCTCTACTGAGTTCTAACAGCCTTTAAGTAACCCAAAGCTGCACTGAATTCAGCGAAGGAAAAAGACAAGCGCCATTTAATGTTAAGGTCCATTAAAAAGGAATGCTTTCCACATGTGAAAGGGCCCAGACCAGTGCAGAGAAAGATCATGGCTCCTGGTTTTGGTGGATGATGCAAACTGAGGAACAAAGGTAAATTGTAGCTGAGGATTAGAAGCAGCCCTGTCCTGCGAGTGAGGCCTGTGATTATGGAGCCGTTTCCAAGGGAAGTGATGAAAGGCTCATCATTTGATTAAATTAAAACCGGACTGAAAAAGCATCAGAGAATATATTCTGAGAGCAACATTGCACTGGCTGGTAAATCAGACAGCTTGACAGTCCACATCTCCTGTACTTCTGATCTCTGCTGTCACATCTTTAATTGAGTTAAAATAAAGAGTGCACAAAATATATTTTAAAACATTTTTCTAACTCTAATGGAGCACGAATTCATTCAGTGCTTATACCTGTATCATAGGGGTTATGGATTGATGCTTCATTTCAGTGACAAAAGCAATTCTCTGGGCTCCCATTATCCGCAACAGTTTTGTTAATTAAATGCAGTTATTCTGAGGTTAAATTTCAAAATACCTCATTTCATGCTTAAAAAAGCCTTCAACAAGTTATCATAAAAATGCATCTCTGTGCAAAGTACCGAACATGTGAGTCTCCTGAGAGTGAAGAAGGCACAAAAATCACACATGGCTGCTTGAAATTAGTCTCTGCACAGCTGCTTTATACTCTGGTTTTAATTATTGTAACAGCACCCACTAGCGCTGCTGCAATTGAGGGTCTGTCATTATTTCTATTCTAAACATCCCTTTTCACAGGTTTAATTACCCAGCCATAAAATTTAGCTCTGTCAAAGGCAGAACTAGCTGGAAAGTCTTGGCCTGGAGAGTTTTTCAGTAAATATAGTTTGAACTAATTTGGTTGTTTTCAAACTGATGAAGAGTAGAGTAATGGGGTGAAACTTCCAACTACATTTATTGACATTGGTGAGTTAAAAACACACTTCTGATGTTCCTCAATGACACCTCTTGATTTTAAAACTGTACTTTTTGGCCTGGTTATGCTTCTCACACATTTATGACACTTGTTGGCAGTTTGGTTATGGCTCAGCCCAGTAACAGTTCAGGGTAAAAACCGGTAGAGCTTCTTATCCCAGTTCATCAGTTGTTAGGTTCTTCTATGGTTAATAGAACTTAATCAGAAATAACAATACTTTGGGGACAGTACTAATTACCTCAGGCTAATGGTTATACTGGGTCACCAAACCTCCTTTGAGCAGCCAATGCAAAATCTGAATTGAGAAGTGATTCTAGAAAGGGACTGAGAGAGATGTCCTAAGGCTGCAGCGCTGAGGAAAGCAAAATACTTCCCCCTTGCTGGCCAGAATGGAGGCATTGTGATGGCAGGGGATGGAGGTGGAGACGGGACATGAAATATTCTGACACAACCAGTTACCTGTGATGCTGCTGGAGAAGTGAAGCCCTTCGCTTACTCATCTTAGCTGTCCCCACAGCAATGCTACTACTTTGCGATAAACATCGTATTCTGAATCAGATCCTCTTATTTCATTTCTCACCTCTGTGAATTCATCTATGTTTGCTTTTTTCCCCAACGTTTCTATGATTTCCAGCTTCCTGTCACAGATTGCTAGCAAGAAATGAAGGGATACTGGTTTAGAAAGCAAACACTTGTGGGTTTGCATATTGTAAACATATTTTTGCACACTGTGTGTTACATTAACTTTCTTCTCGTGCTGTATTACATTTATTTGAGGTTATCCTACAGAGTAGCTGAAGCATCTCTGACTGTATAGAGGCTATCTAAATTTGATTCTTACATATACTCAGAAATGCATGGTCATATACATTCTTGACATATGTTGCTGCAAACTGCAATGATTTTAACAGTGCTTACAACTAATTAGGTGAGGGAAGAAATTATTTTTGATTTAACAAACAGACAAAACTGCCTTAAAATTCCGGGGACATGGCTTCTGCTTTGCAAGGTGGGAATATGAAAATCATAGTAATTTTACCAAGAAGCTCTGTGGGAATATTTTACTGATGATGACATTTAAAACTCAGCTTTTGGTCAGCTTCTGGGGTGCAATAATGGAACTGAGAAGATATGTCAAATGTCTACATAGATTTCTGAATGAGGTCTCTGAGCACAGACATGCTATTTCTGTTGGGATTATTTTTCTGTTCTTTCTTCTACAATATATCAGGAGTAAGAAGAAAATTCGCCATAGAATGCCTTTCTCTCTTGTTGGTTCAAACATTCCTAAACTGTACATTATCCTTATTAAACTATAAAACAAAGCTTAATGTTCCATTAATGTATATTGGGTGCTATCAAATGAAATAAATTTAGGGAATGGAGCCACACTACTAGTGAAATATGACATAAAGCACCTCCAGCATGTGGGCAGAAACTTCCCACTCAATCTCACATCCCACTGTCTGTCCACACTCGAGAACCACAGCCACCGCAGCAGCAGCAGCCCAAGGGCTGTGTTTGGCATTCGCACAACGTGCTGCTAATAGCGGACGATTACTCAGAGGAACAATTCTGCAACAGAGACAGGGCTGAGCAAGGCCAAGCTCCAGACAGAGGTGACCCCAGCAGCAAGCAGAAACGCACTCTGGAGCTCCCCACTTATGATCCCCCCTTCCAGCAATGGCAGATTTGTTATTATTGATGATCATTCCAGGCGCTCGAAGTGCAGGGCTGGCAGCAGGCTGTAGGTTGCCACTTCAACGTTCCTGGCTCTATCTGTTCAATTATCATTATTTGGGGAGGTCAAGTGCAAGCTATGTAAAGGGACAGGAATTATGGAAACCTTTCTGTGCTGAGTGCCCTGGCACAGAGGCCCTTGTGCTGTGTGTCAGTGTCACGCCTGCAGCCGGCGAAGGGAACGGCTAGACAAGATGGGCTGTTCGGTGGAGCGTTAGGTAAGCTGCAGCATTTCCCCTGAAACCAAAACAGGTAACAACACTGTCAGACTTCAGTTTTGTTGATCCCACCTTTCCTCCATACCTCCCAGTATGCCAAGCTGTCCACGCGATTTCCAAGACCTCCCATGAGACAAACACTGTCTGATAGGGCAGGTGAAGGAGGAGCTTGTTAAAGTGATTCCTAAAAATGGTGATAAGCACGTGGCAATGTCTGGCTAATGAAGGATGTAAATGGAAAGGGCCTGCATCTGATCTTTCTGTCTCTCTGAAAGATTTTTTAAACTTCTTTCCATACTTTCCAAGATCATATTAATGAACAACATGATGGTTCAGTCTCTTTCCAATCTACCTAAAGATTTGTGGTTCATACCCTAGCTGGTGTGACTACCTTTAGAGATGCTTTCTTTGTTATCAAATCCACTTGCTGTTTGCTCACAGTTTGCATCAGAATTCAGGCCACAGAAACAAAACTAAAGGAGACACATTGAAAACTTACGTTTTCTCACATCTGGAAAAGACCTCAGGGCACTCTGAACCTACAAATCAAGGGGATAGTCAGAGGCCTGCTTCATGCAGACAACAGCAGGCACTTACTAAAATAAACCACATGGAATAATCAGTCGCACGGGCCAGCCATGCTTCTTACCATACATAGGTGGGCCCTGTTAAGTTGTACTGTGTGTAACCACACAACAATTTCCTAGGGGTCTTGGGTGACTCGTCAGAAAGATGCTTGTACCAAGAGATGTATTACAATTACTGCAAACCTCATCTTCTATGAGTGGCAGTATCAATTTTTATGAGTCACAGGGGTATAAAGAAGATTTAACGAGGGCCACAGGACAGCAAGAGTGGCTGCCCCGGACATTTTAAAGGGGATTCTGAGTGATAACCAGCTGCGGAGTAGGACATCCAGTGGGGAGGTTATGTATCCAACAACATCAGGAGTGTCTGAGTACCTTAACAGGCATTTAGCTTCCTAGGACCTCTGTAGAGAATGCATCGCAATCCTTCCACGTGCTCGGGAGGAATCAGGACTTGGTGAGGCTAAGTGGCAGACAACGACCTGCACCCTGCCCCTAAGGGATGGTGGAGCCATTACCCATCCTGGTGCTCCATGCTGCCACGCCAGGGCAGATGGCACTATCACAACCTTCCTTTTCCTCCTGTCTGGAACAATCAAAGCAGTGTGTTAACAAGGAACATCCCCAGTTACCAGTGCAACCGGTATTCTGCCACTGACATCCACTGTCCTCTCTTTGAACTGAATTGCCAGTGCCTCCTTTCTCATCTCTTTCACCTGAGACTCCATACTGTCCACCTGCTCCCTGTCCTTACGTTTGCTCTTTGCCTCAGCCTTCATCCTGGCCAGCCTGTAGGACACAGAATCACAGAATCATTAAGGTTGGAAAAGACCTCTAAGATCACCAAGTCCAACCATCAAACCCAGCACCACCATGTCCACGAAACCATGTCCCAAAGTGCCACATCTACATGTTTTTTGAATACCTCTAGGGATGGCGACTCCACTATCTCCCTGGACAGCCTGTTCCAATGTTTGACCTCTCTTTCAGCAAAGAAATATTTCCTAATATCCAATCTAAACCTCCCCTGGTGCAACTTGAGGCCATTACCTCTCGTTCTATCACTAGTTGGGCTACACACATGGGAATATGGTTTAGAAAGATATCATCATAAACATATTTAAGATAGATTACACCTACCCTGAAGAACAAAAGGAAAGGAAATAACTTCTTACTGAAATTCTTGTCCTTCTAGTACAAGGAGATTTTTTTCCAAAGAAAAATTTGATCTTTGGAGCATAAAATTACTAGCGTGACTACTGGTCTAGATATTAGTAATTTGGGTCTTCAGAAGGCAGCTCCAAGGAGGTGAGAGTATTTATATTCTGACATGTATCATCTCCTGAAATCCTGTGGAACTATGAATCTGAAGAAATAACCTCTGAGTGTCCGATACATGCATGTGGCGAGAGACTCCTGTAGAGTATATGGTAGACATTTAAGGGAAAATCATCTGTACAACTCTCCTAGTTTGTGTAGTTTCAACAGTGATAAATTTTACCTTCACATTTAGAATGGCATCAATCATTTATTGCGTAGATGTCCTTCAATATCCTTTCAATTCTAGGAGGAAGAGGGGTGCCTAATTTTGCTACACTTGATTTACCAACAAAATTGCATCCATATGCATTTCTTTCAAAGCCTAAGTACCGTTTCACATAAGCAACTCACTGGCAAAGCTCAATGTTGAATGAAATTTCTTAAGCAGTCTCACACCATGAAGTCGTTTCTGCCTTAGGACAGGGATAACACACCAACCTCTCCGTCATTTTGAACACACAGTTTGCAAGCTTGAACTAAAAGTATCTCCCTTTCCTCTTCCTTCTGTTTTCTTTGCTTCTCTAATTGCCCAGCCATGTTTTTACCAATCCTCCATTGAGTACAACAGAAGAACTGAATAAAATTGATGCCATAGAACGCATCGGCTTTGGTTTTGACTTTGTTCATTTATGAAACGGAAAAAAAAGCCTGTAGGAAGTTCAAAATGCTTAAAGTCAAAGGATCAGTTTACATGAGAACAGTTCCTGCTCAGGGAGGCTGCTGGAATCCCTCTGCACTGGGGCTGCTGCCCTGCGCACCTCCGCAGCTCCCACTCACACCCTCTACAACTGGTCAGGGTAGAGGGACTTGCTCCTCTTTTGTACCTGAGAACACACTAGTCCAGGAGCTGTATTTTAACTAACGATTTCTGCTCCCTTCTTCCCCCCGGGTTTCACACACTGTGAAGATGGGCTGATCCTGTCCCTGGCTCTCTTCTGCTGCTAAGGGGTCATCCTAGAAATGATAAAACAATGACATTTTCTTTAATGGATAGAAAGGCCTGTTTAATATGTTACAGCAATACACTTTGATCACAGTCAGTTTTATCACTAGGTACTTGTTCTTCACGGCCACTTATCACAGAGGTTTCTTAATGAATAACTGGGTTCCTTAATCAATCATGGGCATTGCACAGGTTTCCTGCAGTGCAGCCTCCGGCACTTTGAAAGCAGCAGAAGGGTAAAATAATTTCCTATCTTCTGACTCCACAGACACAGCAAAGAGGAGGCATGTAGCAAGTACCAAGCTAAAGGGACTAACAGATTTTTCTCCAGTGTGTGCTACCAGCCCGTTTCTAACCGCAGCTCCTCCTCAGGAGCAGTCTGCAAGCTGAAAGCAGAGCTAAGGCCATGCCAGGAGCTGCCAAGGTGCTCTGGTGATTAATTTGGGCAGTGTCCAGCACAAGTTACATTGCGTGCTGCACCTGCACTGTGCTGCAGCTCTGCGTGTATTTCCACAGTCCCAAAACACCAGGCAGCTGCATCCTCTGCCTGGTGTCCCTGGCGTGGGACAAAACATTTCCCCCCTAGACAGTAACGGCAAACCAGGCTGTAGCAGTGCTGGGCACCCATTTCAAAGTGAGCTCATTTCAGTACTAGACATTTCCAGAAAAGATGAGATGGCAGCGAAGGTGACTTCTCCCTGCAGAATGAAACATGTTTCTTCAGGAAGCCAGCCGCCTGACTCCCACGCACGGAGGGGTGACTCAGACGGAAGGACTACCATCCCCGGACAAATCAAGTCTCTGCTTCAGGTATCAATCCATTTGGATACGGAAATTCCCCCATCTGTTCTCCTGCACGCCTTGACTCCCAGTCAGGTGGCAGTTAAGGAGAGACTGGAGGAAGCCCGAGAGAGCTCACCAAGTACTGTGAAGCTTTAGATAAGAACCTGTGGTGAAATCCTGCCTTTCCTGAAGGTAATGTCAAGGCTCCCAGGAGCTTCACTGGGGCCAGAATTTCACTCCTCATCTTTCTGGTGAGAGATGTGAGAGATTTTGAGCACAGACTGGCATTTCTCCTGTAACATTTTTTTCCTGTTTTCAGTGACTCACATTAGGAGTCTCAGTGCTACACAGCGTCAGTAAAATCCTCTCTGCCGCTGTGGTTTAAGAATCCTATGCAAATCCCACAATACAGCCATCACAAATATGTAAATCCCGAGCTGCTGTGAATGCAAATCCCATGATACTACTACCAGTGGATATGCAAAAACTGCTACAGCTATGGCTACACAAGCCCCCGTGGCAGTGCTGTCTACGGAGAGATTGATTTCTACAAGTCTTGATAGTCATTTCCTTTGCATCAGCTCTGATAGCTACAGATTGAGAACCTGTCTCCAAATGTAAACATGGACTTAACAGCCAAGGCCAAGATAACATGTCACTGGTAGCCAACACTTTGCATTCTACAGGAACATCTGACCTCTCCAGAAATAAGCTCTGATTCACAAGGAAAGCTAAGAGACTTTTGGCAGGGGAAACAAACAAACAACACCCCACCAAAAACCAACCCAAAACTGGAGGAAATTTTAATTCAATTTCTTTTGCAAAATAAAAATGAGAGATGGTTCTAAACTTCCTGCATCCAGGTGTCCCTCGGTGAAGCAATACGAATGGTGAAACAGTGCCCGAAACGAAGGTGTGGCAAGGCTGGCATCCTAAACATCCCCCCAGAACAGTCTGTGCTTGAGTGAAAGCTCACTGAAAAAGATGTTTCCCCAGATCATTTGTTTCAGTGGACCTGCATTTAAAAAATAAATATAAAAAAAAATTGAAATCTTTTACCAGCTCTGGTTGTACTACTGTATGTCTGCTTACGAAGAAAAACCAAAACGATGAGCTCTTACACACTGACCACGATCAGTCAGTTATAATTATTTTTATCTGTGGGGAAAAAGGAAGTAAGTGACTGTATGAAATTCACTTATCACACAGCTACAGTTGTATTCACACAGGCGTGTTCCTCAGAACTGTAACAGCGTGTGGACTAGAAATGCAGAGAGACAGAAACTCTGAGCAGTAGAGAGAGATTTAACATATCACTTTATTCCTTATAATACTGGGAACTTCAATTATCTTCATTTAGAGTCTATGCATAAGACTTGTCAACATTTTACTTCCCTAATTCCTGACACTGAAACCCTGAAACCAATTTTCAAGCTGTATGTACTATTTATGCAAATAGAAGATGCAGCTGTTCAAATAGAAGCCATTATTCTACAAACACAGCTATAGAATAAAGTGATCTAGTAGCGAATGAGTAATTTTGACATAACTCACCATCACCTCTGGGTTATCCATAAACACAAATCTTCACTTCTATATTTTTCTAAATAGAGCAATGAAAATGAAAGCAGCATTGTTCACCTAATGCACTCACATTCTAACCTGAGCATATTGTAAGATGCCATGGAACCCCCTTCCAATGTTCATTCAGTATTATACTAAAGCAAGCAGCCTAGAATACACCCCAGAAATAAGCGAGACACTAAAATGCAAACCAGTTTCTACTTTAAAGGGAAAAAGAACTAAAAGGAAAGCCTAAGTAAAAATCCCAGAAGAAGGAGTTTCTACAACATGCCAGGATAATATTGTTGTTGGTTTGGTCAAGAGAAATCATCCTGAAGGAGGAAAAAAAGGTTATACCTTTATTAAGTTTGGAAGAATACAGAAGAAATGATCTGAAGAGTCCACAGACCTTTGATACCAACACCTGTACTAAAGAGCTGCTGTCACTAACCTAGACTGGTTTGAAAGCAGTTTGCACTCCACATATGTAATTAAGATAGAGTCTACAGAGGACTTGAATACTTGTGAAGGGCAGAATATTGCTTAAACAGGAATAACTAGTGTTTCATTTTGTGTGACATGTTCTGGCATCTGTCCCGCTTCGCAAGTTTTTATGAGAGACAGCTACCATCCCCGGCATTGTGCTCCACAAGGTTCCTTTGGTTTGACACTTCACCAGCCAGGCGAAGTCATTCCTTCCCTTTGTCACACCATTCCTTTTGTAAAACAGAGACCAAGACACCAGCTCTGGTCTTGTGACCAGCTGCACTTTCAACCTTCTCACCTCTCTGATGTTGTACCCGGCATCTCAGTTTTTAGCTCCTCCGTGACCATCTTCATTCCTCTCAGGTACGGGCCCGGTTTTGTAGGAATACTATACCGAGGGTTATGTCTCATCAGATATTCTCCCAGAAAATTAATGGGGTTAAATTTGGGTGGTTCTTTGTCTGGTGCAAGCACATTCTTTCTCTCCACTTCCATTAACAGTTTTTCCACTCCTGGGATTAACGTAGGCAGGAGTTTGTCAAGCAAATAGATGCGAGTATCTAGTGACTCTTTCTCCTCACTGAACCACTCTTTGGACAGCCAGTCACAGGGTTCTCTCTTTGCCTTTTCTTCTCTTGCCTTTTGTGCGTGAATCATCTTCACCTTTGCTTCCTGCAGACTCAGACACCTCTGCTGTACCTTTTCATAAAAACACTCTTT